ATTATTTCTGCAGTTTAGCGTCATCTGCTGTCAGAGAGTGAAAGTGCGCTTTTATCCAGAGCGTCTCTCACATGTTCCTCCATGTGCTTCTCGTCCGCGCTTGTTTACATCAGAGTGCGCACGCGTCTTTCATGCAGCATACAGCTGTGTTGTGCATTTTGACCAGTTGATGGGAAAAGTATTCTTAAAATGCATTCAAAATTCGGAATAATTTGTAATATATAATTATTCACGGTATTTAGAAGTGCCCACGATAACAATATCGTGCATATGCATTACCATGATATATCGCATTACCGAATACCGGCACAAGTCTAGCTCATATATGCGTGCTTCATCAGATTTTAATTCCTTCAGGAAGCGAATCATCTGTTGCCCGTCGGAAAGAGATTATTGTGTTCTAAGCCATCTATTTATATAGAGCAGTTCACTCCTCTAAGGCGGACACAATGAGTTTTCCGATATGTGTGGATGTATGTTACACAGACTCATGAGGAAACAGGTAGGAAGACCGTTTTGCGGCCTTTATCTATTGTTGTATCCGTGATATCTGTTTGTGAGTAAGTTGCGCTCTGGGCTGCTCTCTTTCTGAGGATGGAGAGATGTTCGTTCAACCCCCGCTGTTCCAGTTCTGCGGTTGCCGAGGCGCCGCACGAGCTCGACGCTTGGGGTGACGGCGATGAGCCCGAGTGTACAGAGAATGAGAGAACGGAATTAATCCCCTTCTCTCTGGCTCTCTTCCCCAGACCGCGTGCATTCATCAGAAGAGCGCCTCGTGAGTCAGGTGGTTAGTCAAATCTGATTCCCGCTCCGGAAACTCGTAATCGATTCTTTCGGCTGTGGATTAGATGATGCATACTCTACAGCAGCCTCGGGCTCGAGCTCGCAGGCGACACAAGCTGTAGATATAAACTATGGGTTAAGGGGCGAGCTTACTGATATAAAATCCCCGTTGCTCTACTCCCTCCCTGGATCAAGTGTTTCTCAAGTTTATTAAACAACATGAGAGGCACTGATTTT